TGTATATTTTTCTACAAAGCATTTCTCTTTATTTATTCTCGCATGAATTCAGTCGTTTTACATATATTTTTGGCAGAGAACGTGCTCAATTCTGCTAAATAGCAGCGTAAATGGTGAATTCCCTACTATAAATCTATCAGCTCTGTTAGCCGCGCAATCGAACATCATACATATTTCGATTTGCACCTTCTCTATACTTTACGTTCTCTGGCTGAACACTGGAAACTCGGCGCGATTCTCCTCTCATCGTCGCTCCCTCGCCTATAAACCAAGAGTTGCCGCAACAAAAGTTGCTTCGTGTAATAGCCGACTAATAAAATTCCCTAAACTGTATACACAACACTCACACACGCATACCACTATCCACACTATTAGGGTGCGCCGACATACTCAACTTCCCCCACGTGAGTACACGAAGTTTCTAACTAGTCTTCGAATGCACAGATATGTTTTGGTGTTGCTTTCAATCAACTTTTTTTCGGAACAAGTTTCGAACTTTCAAAAGAAATATTTTGGTCAACTGGAACATACATACCTGCTAAAAAACGGAACAGTTATTGAACAAACAAAATTTATTATATTAAACGCTGTTATTGGCTTCACTTGAATATTTGTGGTACTGAAAATGGATGGCACTTTAAAAACTTTTTAAAAAGCACTGCGAAAAATGTCCCTAAAACTGCAGCTAAAAGCAAAAAAAGACAGAAGATCGCCGATATTGGACTACAATAGAAAATAAATTCCATACAAACTAAGCAATCGAAATCAACTTCTTGTAAGGAAATTTTTTTATTTGTTAAGATATCTTCACAAAATTGAACGAAGATTATTAGATTAGACTCAGCAACAATACAATATCCAAAGAAATCAGATCGGACTACTATAGTACATAGTTGTCACACAAACTGACTGATCAAAATCAAGATCTGGTAAGAAAACTTGAACCTGTAAGGGATATTATAGTTTTTCTTGTTTATTTTATTTAAAAACTTTTGTTTATCGGTGAGATTAAACAACGTTGGAACAATTAGTTTTCAGTTGAATATGTCAGTTAGATAATGTAACTTTTCACATAGTCTATATAAAATTTGTAGTTACACAGAAACGTATAATCAATATGTTGGTATATGCATACATATGCCTTTATTTTTAGTATTTTGTATTAATAAATGTGTTCGTTCGAATTGCGAAACAATAAAATTAGACAAAAAATAAATACAATTTAAGTTCCTTCATGTAGCCTCTTCAATTAATTGTTGACATGCCCAACGCATAAAATAAAATTTTGAACTTTTGTGGTCATTAGTGCCGGAAAGGCGGCTTCCACTGAATTTAGGGTGTCCCATAATATTTCCTATACAACTTTCATTGATATAAAAATTATTTGAAACAGAGCTTAATCTCTCAATTAGTTTATGGGCAATTTTTGACTCGGCAAATATTGACGCAGTATAGGCATATCTTGATTCTTTTATTAACAAGTTTACGATCTTATCTAACTCGTTATTTTTATACAGATAGACACTTAGTACTGGTCCACAGATATCTTTTGTCATTAGGGGATCCAAAGGGTCGTTACAAACCACCACTGTTGGTTCTATAAAATATCCATGAGATTTGCAATAATTTCCACCATATATAATTTGACATTTTGACTCTTCACTGGCTCTCTTAATATATTTTATAATGCGCTCATAGGCAAGTTCGCTGATTACGGCCGATGTTACTGATGTGAAATCACATGGATCTCCTACCTTGATACAGGCTATCTGGTCTAATAGGTCTTTTTTTAGCTGAATCCATAGCGTTTCTGGAACGTAAATGCACGAACATGCTGAACATTTTTGGCCTGAATATTCGAAGGCTGCTTGGGCAGTTGCTTCTGCTACTACATTCACATCCGCACTTTCGTGGACAAAATGGAAGTTTTTAGTACTGCATTCGGCCACCATACGTGGATAACTTTTGAAATTTTTAATTCGTAGATAAGTAACATTAAATATGTTATGAAAATTTGTCGTTCTTCCGGCAAAATTAAGGCCACCAAAATAAGGTGATTTAGTAATGACGTCCACAAATAAGTTGCCATTACATGGTATGAAATTTAGAACACCCGGAGGCAAACCAGCTTTCTTTGTAGCTTTCCAAACCAAGTAATCAGAATATATACTATTGCTGGAAGGCTTCCAAAGTACACAGTTGCCCATAAGTGCGGGGCTTAGTGCTAGATGAGCAGAAAAGTTGTTATGATTGAATGGTGAAATGGCCGTGACAAATCCGTTTAATGGACGCTGGAAATATGTTGTTTTGATTCGTTCAGGATTACTATTGCTAAGATTAATTTTAGATAGGCGCATTATATAGTCTGCACTTTTTCGTAACAAGCCAATTAACTGGAAAGTATCTTTCTCAGCTTCTTTCGGTGTTTTTGCTTGTCCTAACATAATTGCGGCGTTCAGCATATGACGGTCTTCTTCTGCGATGATATCGGCACATTTTCGCCAGATTTCTGCTCTTTCCTTCAGATTGGTACCCTGCCAATATTTTTTACTACACAATGCTGTTTCAATACCAAGTTTAATCTGTTGTGTGTTGGCGTAATAAAATTTGACAAGGGTACGTCTATGATTGTGAGGATGCACCTGTAGCTGCTCATCGCTACTAACAATACTATTATCGCCGATGATTATTGGCACGCGGAAGACAGTTTCTTGCAGTTTATCTAGTGATTCACAGAGAGCTTTGCTGTCCATAGAATTTTGGTAGTAGTTCATCATGTTTTTGAAATATCGTTTGCAACCTAAACTCAAATAGGCGCGCATGCACGAAAGGTTGACACCTTTGTAATGAATTCTGAAAATATTACTCATCTCACTTTTAACATTTTAGCTGACAACGAATGAGTTAAGGATCATTTGTTAAAATTTATACAAAATAAAGCAATTTCGAAAAATTGAAACTTAAATATATATATATTTTTGTATAACGGAAAAATCTCAGTTTCATTACATATTAACAAAATATTTCTATGCATGGTGAAAATATAGGCTGCATAATTAAATTATACAACTAGGGCTATGGATTCCAGTTGCTTACCTATACCTTCACCATGCCTATTTTCACTGGTATACCAAGAAATTATCTATTTGTGTTACTTTCTGTGCGAGCTTTCGGCCAGCTTCAGTTGGCGCGCTGAATGCTATCATGTCCAGTGGAATTTCCTCTCCGAATATGGTGTTTTGTTGGACCGCATTTATTAGTTTTGTTGCTATATGTAGACGCCTATGTAATGGAGAAACCCATATTCGAGATATACCGCATCTAATTGTGCATAAATGCTTTGATTCAAAAGACAAATACCATATATCTTAGTTTATACATACTTGGCAGGAAATTCTTCTTCGGTGCAACAGTCAAGCTCTTCTATTTTAATATATTTGTTAGCTTTTTCAAGAGGAACAACTAAACAAAGACCAACAATTTGGTGTTTACGGACAGCCAAGTAAGCCTGTAATTAAAATGAACACTTTAACTTGTAAAAGAAAATAATGTAGTAGAAAAACATACGACAAATGTTGGTGGGATTACATAGGAGGCGAATCCCAGCTCCTTATCGACAATCTTCAATATGTCGGCTAAACGTTCATGTCGTCTGGTGTGTGAAGATTCTGTGATACGCAATATACGACCGTCGGAACCCCATTCGGGGTATATAGCAACGATATCTTCATCGATCCAACCCTTAAAACGCAGTAAATGCAAAGATGCATGATAATCGTTATGCAATTTTTCTTCCTCTACTTCATGTATGCTATAAACCAGACCACATTGTTTGCATTGGTGAGCACCAAAGTTTCTTTGTCCGGCATCGATTTGGTATTGATTAGTCGCCCGATCCAAATTCAAAGTCCGTGAAAAGTCTCGTTTAGATATTTGTTCTAAAGGCTTCCATGTGTTTGTATCAAATATTGGGAAAAGCTTATCCTTGTCTCCATCGATAGACTGAGTAAAAGGTAATGGACTTTCGTCAACACTTTGTTGAACAGAAGCGCCAATCCTCGCATTATCTAAAATTTTCGAGTTTTCGGAAATATTATTTGGTATTTTCACTTCATTATCGACTTCTTGTGAAGTGTTTAAGGGGACACCTTCTCTTTCTTGTTTCCGTATTGTTTCCATTATTTCATCTGCCTCCTTACGTCTTTGGTTGTAATTTGCAATGAAAATATCAAAATTTTCCTCTGTACATATATTGTTTTCAACTAGAAAGTCCAGCATTCGATGTTGCTGCGCTTCCACTTCTGGATCATCTGTATTGTACGGTAGACGTTGACGAAAGTAATCTTGTTGATTTACCAAAACAAAAACCTGATCAACAATTTTTGCTGCCTCTTCTTTGTGATTATCTGGATCTGCTATGAATATTGTAAAGTTCTCTTCTGTACACATATTATTATTTATTAGAAAATCAAGTAACAAATATTGTTGCTCTATTAGCGAAGGATCAGACGTATTGTACGGAAGCCGTCTACGAAACTCTAAATAATCAAATTCAGTGGATAACTGCGTGTTAGGAGTTTGCAATGAATGGTTGGCTAGAATTTCTTGATCATTAATAGTTTGATTAGTTATAGTGCTCATAGAATCTTCGTCCATATCCCCATAGGCTGTGTCATCTAAATTCTTTAAAATCGCTTTAACAGTAGCTTGTTCATCGGATATATCATAAGTTGCTGAAATTTAGATATGAATACACATATGAGTATTCAATATTCAAAGAGAACTTACTTGACGGTCTTCTTTTTGGTCTCCTTTTTACTTTCTTTTCTTCTTGTATCAAAGATAATTTACCATTGCAAATAGAAGCTCTAATATTATTTGTAATATGAATTTCTTTAGGCGTAAGGCTACTTCGAGCGGATTTGAAAAATTTTCGTTTTGTTGGTGCGGTAGAAATTACGGACTCATTTTCAATAATAGCAGCTTCAATGGTGGCTGATTCATGCGAAATGATAGGAATGATTTCTTCCGCATTTGAAAGCTCTTCATAGTCATCAAAATTACTATCGATGTCAGAAAAATCTGTATCAATATCTTCAGACATTTCAAGTTCTTGATCGTTTTTATCTGTCGGCAAAACATAGTCAGTCTTATTGTTGTTCGTATCATCTATTCCTGAAATAACTGTCAAGGGCCGGGCCATCTCTATAGGATTTTTGCATGATCGAAAAATATTGTGTATCTTTTCTATATTTTGACGCTCCTCTCGTTTAGAGGCGATCCGATTTTTTAGATTTTCATTGCGCAAATTTTTTAATATTAAGTCAATGTCTACAGAAGAAACGGTATTTCGAATATTTTTTTCTCCCGATATAACTGATCGTATCGGTCGTCTTATTTTGTGTTTTACCCCTTTATTAATATTTATCTGTCCAAAACTCCGACGACCACGGCTTCGCGGAGAATTATTTTTATTAGTTATTGGTGGCGATTTTATCTGAACTTGTAAGTTTTTGGGTACATCAACACTTAGGGTTGTGGGCCGGGACCTTGAGTAAAATTTCGATGTTGAAATTGTGGCTGGAGCTTCATCATTTAAATCAATTTTTGGATTTTTTTTGTACGGACTTAACTCGACGTTCTCTTCTGTTACTACAAAATGCCGTTTTTTTGGTTCGGATCGAAATATAGTGCTCTTATTTACTATTTCTGGAGTACCACTGGAGGTTAATCTCATTGAGGTTTTGAACATTTTTTGCAGCTGCTCTTCAGAACCATCTTCTTGATCACTATTTGGTGTATTTTCCTTATCCCCTGGAATTATTAAAGCGGTGTTCTTTAATGTGTTTTTAACACTTTTGGTACGGAGACTTCTGCGTAAAGGTGACGTACACATAGATTTCGCGAAGTCAATGGGAGCATCGTTAAGAAAACTTATGGCACTTGATTTACGATTTGAATCTAAAAGCTTTTCAATATTACGTTTACTCCTTGTTGTTATAGAGCTTATTTCTCTAATCGTATTTGAAGATTCTAGTAATTCAATACCCTCCAACATATTTCCCGCCACTTTAACTTCACCATCAGAAAATAAACTTTTCTTCCTCTCAGATAATCTTGGCGTTGGATTGCGTGTAATACGTGGTTTACTTAAACTCTTTGGAGTTTCCATTTATACAAATTAGTTAAAAAAAAATAAAAAAAAAACATGTGAATATAAGAAATTGCTTTTTATAAGTAACATCAACACAAAAGAAACGCGCCAATTGAGTTTGACATATTTATAACTTAAAAACAATAACAGCACGGTTACCGATAAATCGATAAATAATTTAGATTACAGATTTTTTATATAAAGTAGCTACTAGACATTTTTATATCAACTTTAATAATGCTAATATGATACTTCACTACTTAAGTCACTTGTTAATTAGCCGAAAGCCTTATCAGAGATTTACACATTAAAGTGAAACGTTATTTAAATTATTAAATTTATTCGTAAAATTAATTAAATAAAATAAAAAGCAAAGACCTTGAATGCTAATGACAACGTGTTAAATACTATGTTCGGACCGACTTTGAAAACCATTTTGAAAATTTTGAGAACACATTTGTATATTGTAGAATGTAAGTCGTTCGGATCCACAATGTGTGTTTTCGATGAGTTTTCATGTGTTGAACAATCGCGACACACTGCAAACGACATCTGTCAAATATTAAAATACAATATATATATAATATTCTATTTTGACGGCTGCACGACTACACGACTGCAGGCCGACAGTTGTCGTTCTCGCTGACTTCAATATATTCTTATATTTGCCAACGACAGTAGAGAGATGAGGAAGAGTGATGCCACTAATATGTAAAATGTAAAATTACTCAAAGCTCTAACAAACCTGAAGTTATTTTACAAATAAAAGCATAAAATAGCTATGTTACATCATTGATAAGAACAATTAATAACTTAAAACAAATAAATTTACCTATTTACTTATTCTTTGCTTAAAAATTTTCACTTTGAACAAAATATTCAAATTTCATTGAAGTGCAAGGTAATACTATGGCCACAACGAAATTGTGTACATGCAAAATGGACAACTGCGTTGTTTTGTGTACATGTCGTTTTAGTTCACTGTCGTGCTGCTGCAATCTGTCGCGAGCATTGTGTTCCGCGCATCACAACGCCATTTTCAGTTCACTGTCGCGCTGCTGCAGTTTGTCGCGAGCATTGTGTTCAGCACATCACTGACAACTAACAATACGGGGATTCTCTTGCTCTAGCGAGATGACACAAAATTCAAAAATCCTATACCGAAATATGCAAGGCCAAGAGAGCAGCCACTGCAGAATCTAGTGATATATAACGGCACGAAAACAAACATGGGGGTTGGTCTGACATATTTTACAGCCATTGCAAATATATGTTTGCGTGTGTTTGTTGTGCAGTTGCACCAAGAAGAAAATTCTGCAATTGGTGCACCGTACAAGGGGTTTGCAAGAACAAGAGAATTTCCTTAACAATGAGTAGCTATATTTGTATATGAAATGTAAACAAATATCAAGTGACAATTTAGGGCCGGCAAAATATGTCTTCCAAAAAAATCGATTAAACTTGGGTAGGCACCGATTATAATGTGTGGAATGTAAGTTTTCAAGTAGTATTCAGAGAAAACTGAGTTTTCGTTTGACTGATTTTGCATGGACGAAAAGTAGTTTTTCTCACAAAAACATGTTTTCAATGTCGGTCGGAACATAGAAAAAGTTATTTGCCTAGTTATCGATAGGTTATTGTTCTAGTTCAAGTTCTACATTTATTTTCTTGCTCTAATTTGCGAACTAGTTTGGAAAACTATTCGTTAGTCTTAGGTTAACAGTGTCCTCTTCGTTGGCTATTTGGTAGGTTATTGCCTATTTATAAGTTACAGAAAACTGGTATCTCGCCATTTGCTATGAGTTATTTGTTGGATTATTCATCGGTTACGTTCTTCCTAATAAAAAAGAAACAATTGTAATTTTTATTTTGTTTCTTTTTGCTTAGGTATTTTGTTTTTAAGTTTAAATATTTATATTGATTAGGTATATCTTTCATTTCTATTTTACAAATTCGGTAATTATTTAGGATTAGTTTTAAGGATTAACATTTATATATACATATATATATTACAAACTGAATTTAGATTCTTACAATAAAATTTTTGGCAAGTATAGTAATATCATTGTTATTTTTCATCAAAAGCTTAAAACCATAAATATATATTTGGTTTATATTGTTTTAATTTGTATAATTTAAAGAAATTGAAAATAGAGAAAATAGTGTATTAATTTACTAATTCTTAATACTATGTTCCCACAAAAATTTAAGGCGATTATATTACATTTACAGTGCGATACTGTACTGTGATACAGTCACAAGTCTCTAAATTTGAGATTTTAAGTTAGAGACAATTTTTGTGACTTGAGACGATTCTGCTATTCTGTAAAGGGGTATCTCGACAAGCAAAAATTTTTGTATACTATACACTATACGCTGCCGTATGTTACTGTCAAAAATTTAACGAAAAACCTGTCAAATGCACAAGGAACGGATAATAGGCTTTTGAATGACTACAATGTACCTATATGCAGAAGAAAAAATGGTCAATAAACAATTTGTGTTTTGATATTCTATTGCGTTAGGTTTTTGCAATGCAGAAATGAATAGAAAATTAAAATATTTACAACAATTAAAATGCGGAGAGTCACAAAAATCGATTACATTTCATTATTCAGAGATATTTTCCCATTTGCATAAAAATATATGTTGACTATGATTCATAATATTTACGAAATGTTTATAATATGGATTTTTTTCAACTTTTTCGTGTTTGATTTCTTCACAAAATATAAAAAAACGATAATCGATTAATATTCATGATGATCTCTATTCAGTATATTCAAAATGGCAAAGAGTTCTTTTTAGTTTTGTGATCTGCTAACTATCAGGTCTCAAATTTGAGACAATATTTTGAGACTAACCCTAGAGACTGTTTAGTGAATAGTAACTAGTCACAAATTGAGACTTTACCTCAAAATGTTCACGACTTCCGGTCTTTGACAAAGTATCCTCTGGGTAGCCTAAGAACATCCGCTTAAAGTCGAGCTTAGGTGAGAAGGCGAAACACCACCTACATAGGGTTGTGCGCTTGGTTTGGGACCACGTAAAAAACACTACCAATGAAAAATACCAACGCCGTTAATTACACGCAGAAAAAGGCAGATCCGTGGACATGCGCTTATTGATGTGAAAATCTTTCGTATATTTGAAGTCTTTCGCTGCTAATTGCAAGGCAATACAACCTAGAGGCCGCAAGACAATGTAGTAATTGGCCTTTTCAAAGTAAAGCAACCCACCATAAAATCACTATTGGTGAAATTTTCTCGCAACGCAACAAAAAATAATCTCACTCGATTTTCATCTCCGGTAGCGCATTGAGAGTTTTGTTTCGTTCTCTGCAATTATATGTGATAAATTCTTTAGAAGGAGAAACAAGTTAATTTTAATTTTACCTTCCTGACAACATATTTTGAATTTATAAAAATATTAAAAAATTGCTTACTTTACATTTTTTTTTAAATAATGCCGCCAATAGTTGATGAGAAATATATAGCTATATGTACATTTCTCTATTAAGCATTCAGAAATTATGTATGGTGTATGGTGTTTCTCTTAGATTTTTCTAACAGAATTTTCCATTTAAAAACAAAAAAATTTGTTTCAATATGTAGTGGTGTACGATGTGAAATTTTACAAATGTAATAGTGATATGGTTACCTCCCTCTTGTAGGGTACAGTTTGAGTAGAATAATAAGTAATTTAAATTTTCAAAATATTAATTCTAATTAATAATATTATATTTTCTGACTTATATGTCACACATAATTTTATTATACCTATATTATATTACCTCCATGTTATTTTTGCAGCGGTTCATTAAAACTCGTTTATTTCTGAAGGCATATTTGAAAATTGATTTCACTTCATCCTTGGACAAACAGCCGCATTTTTTATATTAACATGTATAACAATATGCATTCACGAAGATAAAAATTTAAATTATAAAATATAAAGTTTTAATTAGTAAAATTTTATTTAATATATACTCTATTTAAAGAGTAGGAGATTCTCTTTAAAGTCTAAGTTAATCTTGAAGACTTTACCATGAAGATGGTTTATAATAATACTTACAGAAAAATAAGGCCTAGCTTTACTCCTTTCATACAATTAACTGTAAGATGTCATTTAGTGTCGAAAAGATCATAAAATGATCAATGTATAGAATGTCATTTTAAATTAAAAAGAGCATTGAAATATTAGAAGTTTGATTATTAGAGGAAAGGTGTAAATTACTCAAGTTTTTATTTATTTATGAAAACATAAAATATCCTCAAAAGATTCTTCAAAATTTTCATATAACGAAATAATATTGTACATGTACAGCTGCGGTCAATATAATAGCACGACGCATAAATTTATACTGACTCCGTTTATATCTCTTTAACTCTTGGGCCAATTCAACTCATAAGAAAATAATAAATACTTTGATGCAATAGTTCATTATCATAAAAAAATTATTTGGTTTTTTTAACAGTTTATAATATGTTAATGAATTTAAACAAACACCTTAAAAACTACACAGTCAAAATAATAGCACTTCAATTAATTTTTAACAAAAATAATGGTCTTTCTTAAAATAAATCAAAAATTTTGGTTAGATATCTTTTAGATAAACTAATTACATATTTTCAGTACTTTGTCGCGTGCCTTTTGTTTGCTATTACAGCGGCACAACGCCTTCCCATGGAATCCACTAAATGCTGGCATCTTTCAACTTTTATGGAGCTCCAAATTTTCTGCACAGCTTGCCAGAGCCCTTCAACAGTTGTTGGTTTTATTGTAGATATACCCTTCTTTATGTCGATCCACAGATTTTCGATAGGGTTCAAATCCGGGGACTGTGCAGGCCACTCCATTACATTGATGGAGTTATCGTTGAACCATATTTTTGCCATTTTGCTGGTTGTTTGGGTCATTGTCTTGCTGGAAGACCCACACTAGCGGCATTTCGTAGGAAACATACGGCAGCATAATTTCGTCAAGGATTTTTACATAAACCGATGAATCCATAACGATTTTGATCCAATATATGGGACCCACACCTTGATATGAGAAGCAACCCCATACCATAATACTATGACCTCCATGCTTGATAGTTTTTGATGTGAATTGTGGCTTGTAT